CAATCTACCCGTTACGTACTGTATTGGTTTCAGTTACACCAAACAATCATCCCGTTACGTACTGTATTGGTTTCAGTAACACCAAACAATCTATCCCTTCGGGACATGTGAACGTTGTTTGTAAAAATATAATCAAACCAACCATCCCTTTGAAAAGGTTTAAATTATTACGATGTTTTAAAATATCTCCCAACCAGCCATCCTCTTGTATAGATATAACCAAACCAACACTCTTTTGTACAATTGGTTTGCTTTGATAACACTAAACCAACCTTTGTGAACACGTGTATACAACCACTGCTAGTAATTCCCACTATGTAACTATTATCTGAAGATATATATTCGACATCACTTTTCTGTTGTGTAATATTATTTTTGATATGCTTAACATTATAAGATTCTGGCAATATATCTAGCTATCTCTTTCTTGATATTGTGTTCACTTCAACAACAATAGAAGTTTACATTTTTATCATCCTGATACAACCATGCGATGTCCCTATTCAATTCCATTCTGAGATGATATGGTTTAATAACGGACAGGACAAGTACAATGGATCACTTTACCCTTTCAGGATTGGCAGCTATGCCAAAAACTAAATGTATACAGGAAAGGGAAGAGGCGCAAGTTATAGCCAGAAAACCAACGCTTGGGATCTTCATACCCGAATGTGAACAAGACGGTTCGTACACTGAGATCCAGTGCCACGCCGCCACTGGGTACTGTTGGTGTGTCACCAACGACGGAAAACCTATTAAGGGTACATCAATTAGCGGCAAGAGCGCTCCCTGTAAACGTAAGTCAACTAGAGGTAATAACAATTTATTATGATTTCCCTTCACCTGGCTTTTCTCCATAACCAAAAGCACAACGTATTTCACTATATTTGCATTATGGACACTGCTGTATTACAGCATCATGCTATTTTATCAAGCATCAAAACAAGTATCAGTGGCTGTGCTTCCAAACGTTTACTAGCATCGTGATCAAGGAAGACAGAAAAGTGTACTTGATATATAAGCAAACCTTCATGAATTTAGTGTACCACAAGCTAATCTCTACGGTCGTGATTGGTTTCGTCTACTTGACTCCTCAGAGACTTTTCTTGATTACGGGCACTATTCCACGGTTACTTGTTTCGTTTCCGGTGGGAACTATATCTTGCGTCATTTAAGAGATAGGAGAATACCAGTGCATCTTTATTATTAGTTGTATTATTACCCTTACGATTGTTTGTTTGTTAAGTAAACAAGTGTTGACTCAAGTTGATGTTGACTTGTATATATTTAGTTCTAATAATCCACCGACATATGTAATGTACTAAATCTATTATGGCTCTTCCCTCGGGAACAGTTCCCTGCTAGTATTGCTTAGGGAGGAATCGTCGCTTGATGGGCACTCGGGAACTGTTCTTCCCCAGACAACACTATAGGACAACAGCTTCATCAGAAAAGGGTCATACTACAATAATATCGGCTTCAATATTCGTCACCACTTCGTTATATTATAAATATATATTATATACATATGAAATGTATCACATATTTATAAATTTCATAGTTTTAATTAGCACAGACTATATTGTATAATCTCATTATATACACAGTGAATAAGGTCAATTCTGTTTTATCACAAGGAAATGTGTTAACTTCAACTTTACTTCAATTAAATAATTAATTCACAAACATATTCTATTTTCATCTAATCAAATTTCACCCACGCACGTTCACTTACCATCAGGTTGAAATCAGAGATAGATAAATTACTGCGGTGAATATTTCTTAGATTTTTTTTCTTAGTTCCGCGGCTATATGCCTAAAATACTACAATTTTGCAATTAAAATGTCTTTATTGATTTTTAGCAGAGCTCATATCTATATGATATGCCACTTTGGGCAAACAAGCTTATTCTCATTAAAAACGGTGGCTATAGCAGGGGGGAAATCATACGTGCGCTTTCATCCTGGCCACCAAAAGCGATAAATATTGATGGGAAAAAATCTTTCATATTTGTTGTAAAGTAAAAACAATTTATATAACTACAATAAAACTAAACTCTATTGATCAAAGTCTTTTGTAAGTATACCATGATGGAAAGTCATATTTGTACGCTAACATCTAATAACACATAACAACCAAATATAACACAATGGGCCAACGTTAAAATATATAAAACCCTCTCTTTTTATTTTTTTTATTTTACACATTCCTGCACAACTTCCTCCGATGTTAAAACGTTCAGCCATTTACCTATCTTAATGATATGATCTGAAGCACGACAGTTGAATTTGTGGCTAATATTACAAGATGAGCTAGCTGATGAGAATATGTATTGATAGCGGGATCGGAGATATACAAATGCGTTTTTAATGTTGATATGATATGTTAAGACGAAGATAACAGTCCACTAAACACACCAAGTGTTTACCCGATCATTTAGACCGGAGGCATATCTCCTTTGCCCGAGACTGAGATAAACCAGACGTCATGTTCATTATATATCGCCTCATCAAATAGCAATCAAGTAATATAGTAGAACATTAGAAATGAATCAATTACCGACGTTCACCGGGAAGATCCTGGGCATCATACGAAACGTGCTGGGAGCGCGACTCCGTTATATTTCAAACTTTGAATTACTTATCAGTGAATAGCGTCTTTGGAATTTATTTAATAATTCGTCTTTTAATTTTGTGAAATAAGTTTTAGCATGCTTTTTCATTTTAAAATCAATTGTATTAATCAATGTATTGTTTTAAAGTAGCTATATTAAGAAAATGTTTTAATTGATTGATAAGTTTCAATCCATTTTAAATGAGTTATAAAACGATTAAACAATATATGGTGCTAATGCAATATATCGTACAGAGTAAACTTACACTTTGCATTGCTATCCGTTATAAAATGATTGTCAATTACAAAAAAGTGTTAAATAATCATTAGAAGTTTTCGTCATTTTAATTTTAATTTAATCTAATTTTTATATTCTTTTTATTTTATTTTTATTTTTATACGAAAAAGGATCAATCTAATCGAATGCCCTTTTGTCCTACAGGAAAAAGAAGGCGACCACAGAAATCTGAAAAACACAAACGTCGAACGGATAGAAGACGGATATCGCCACGACGAAAGAAAAGAGGTAAACAATGTTTTATAACGATGATGGCAGTTGTTCAATCTTAAAAAATAATATATGCTGTTAATTTTCCCTTTATTTGAACTATAATTCATGTTTTGAAACTGTTTGGGTGAAAAAGTGTTGATATATATACTTTTTTTTCAAACACAAATGGATTTTTAAAAAAATCAGAAAAACTCACTTACAGCCAAAATATCAAAATATATCTATTTCGTTTAGTGGTAGAGTGTTTAATGTGTTTATCATGCGTACGATATTTACCGATATCAGATCATTCGACGAATTACTGCGTTACTGTTATGTTGAAAGCTAATGTTCCTTATTAACCTGTATGCGACGTTAAATAAAGTTTCTTGTATCTTGACGTAACATAGCGATCCTATATATAATTATATGCTATATAGCCAGAGGATGTCAAGCATGTGATGAGACGATATGATGAATTATAGTAAATGTTCGTCCGTTGAATAAGTAAATGTTCCGAAGATACGAAATATACAGTTATCCCGACCTGATTCTTTCATAGTTCAACATGACAAAAAGCGGATTTTTGTCAAAGCGTATACAGATTAGCTATAGGAAGGATATCCCAGCACCATCACCAAAAACTGCAACTTCGCAATGGAAACTGTTTATGACGGCATGAATAAAACTTTAATAAATTATTTTTGAAACGAAAACCATACCTTACGGGATTTTTATTTACAAAATAATATAGATGTGATAAACAAAATAAAATCGACAACAATTATCTGAGTGTTAACTTCATCGGGGCTAGACTGGGATTCGAACCCCGGACTTTAGAGTGTAATACTATCGCTCTAACTGATTGAACTACCTTGTCCACGGCAGTACCCTGGACCAATAGGGTCAAATTAATCTGATGTTCGTAAGATCAATATGTGAACAAGTGGTATTTTTTTATGAATTTTCATCTCTTAAATGAGATTTCGCTTATGTGAGTAAACAAACATGCTTGTAGCCGACTTCTTACG